TATATATATTAATTTATAATTTATGCATCTCCTCTTTTTTTTTAGAACTGCCAGCACAATACCTATGGTCGGTACTGTGATTACTGTCTGCCAGGCTACTATGGCAATCCAACTGATGGTACAGATGAGGACTGTTTGCATTGTGCCTGTCCTTTGAGCATAGATTCCAACAAGTAAGTATAATTTGATTATTTAAAAAAAATGGTTCTTCCAAACCTGAATTAGGTTGCTGGAATATATTGGGCAGTGGTAGCCTTACAAATACATGAATTAAGATGTATAAATAAAAATATCAAACTATAAAACAATGCACACATATGTCAAAATATAAAGCAATAAATTGTGACAGTCAACTGGCAATATATCTTTGCAATTCAACATCCAATAATAGGTGTCTAAATGTGACAATTAAAAAAAATATATATTCCTGTGACATACATGCTCCTGTGTCTGTGATCTTTCCAATCAACACCGCTGTGTGTCAATAAAAGAACTTCAAACTTGTGTTGTAATTCTGTCTCTTCCACCAGTGAATATAGTGACTACATACGAATAGCCTCTCACCTTCCAAATAGACTGCTCTCAGGTCTCTCAAAATGCTCCCCTTTATTAACAGGGGGGCTACAGAATGTTTTGATCTCCCTTCACCTCCCCATGTTCTTCCACTGTCAGTATGCTCGTCCCTCCAAAAGGAACGCTGTAACCACCGCTTATCCCATTCAACATGACCAAAAAAACAACAATCCAAAGAGCACACCTATCAGATTAAAAAAAAGCTTTCATGAAATGCTACTCACATAAAAAGTAAACAAATTGATAAAACCGCATCCAGTGATAGAAGGGCTTAACGCTTTCCTGCGCGTCTGCTTCACCGCTCCTCCATGCGTCACAGGAATCCGCCCTACGTACGTTGTATCCCTCTGGACTTCATCAGGGGCTCGGGACATCTTGCTAGTTGATTGTCACAATTCATTGTTTTATATTTTTTACATCCATATGAATTGTTTTATAGTTTCATATTTGGATTTACATTTTTATTAGAAATGTAACACTCATTACTGCATTGTTTTTTAAAACCTGTTACACACATTGGGGAGAATTCAGTAAAGTAATGAAAGTCATACAAAAGTCCATACCTGACATGTATGACTAATTCAGGTAGTTCTTATGTGCAACACTTTTACATTCTAGTGCTATGGCTGCGTTAAATTCATTAAGAAATACTGTCATAGCTCCCATAAGAAAAGTGGGGGTAAATAAGACATCTTCCATGTTGGGATAAATTGTGTCAAATGTGTAAGTATTGTGTCACAGGCAAAATTCTGTCTGAAGCAATTCTGCAGCACATTCCTATACGCCTATATGGTTAATAGTTACATGAATCTGTCGCAAGTTGCGCCATTTGTTTTATGGACAGGAGACACATTTTTTATTGAGTGTAAATGGCACTCTTTATGAATTCCAGGGATAGAACTAACATAAGTATAAATTTGTATGTTGTGGCAAACTGGTTCTTTAACAGGAAGTAAACCCTGGAAGCTATGCCCAAAAATTGGCAGGTGGATGGCAAAGGAATTGTCTGTGGTCTCCATGAAGCTTATCTTTTTCCCCATTATTGAATTGTCATGCCTGGTTTTGCACTGTATCTCTGTGTGGAGGCAGCTAGCTTGGCAGAGGCAGGGCCTAATGCCAGAGACTCCATGATAAGAGAATAAAAAGCACAGTAGTGACTCCCCAATTTTCACTCCAAATCTTGTGAAACTAGCACTCAGAGGCAGCAGGGTCTTAAATCTCACACAGTATACAGTTACAAGGCTGTAGACACTTCAGTGCCTAGAAACCCTCATATACCAGGAAGTGCAATTGCGTTTTTTTGAGAGGAATTCAAGAGAAAAGCTAAAAAAATTCAAGCTACTACTTCTACTCCAGGTGAAACTTGAATAATTAGACTATCGTGCAAAAGTAATTGCAGTAAGTGCTGCAAAAGGGGCCCAAACCAAGTACTGAGTACATATGCGTGCTTGTACTTTTCAGAGATCCGATATTGTTCTATGTACAATCCTTGTTTTATTGATTGCATGTAATAATCTACTTTTTTGAGGTTGTGGATTTGGGGTTCTTGGGGTTTTCATGAGCTGTAAGCCATAATCATCACAATTAAGACAAATCACGGCTTGAATTATCTTGCTTTGCATGTAATAAGTCTATCTCATATATTAGTTGCACCTTTTAAGTTGCATTAGTGAAATAAATGAACTTTGCATGATATTCTAATTATTCGAGTTTCACCTGTAAACTAAAATTAGAACTTCTAAATATTCCTTAAAAACATAGCAATTATTCAATTTTTTAGTTCAGTTTCACTTTAAAATGGAGGGTACTGAGGGCTTTGTATTATATAGACCACAAAATAAAACAGTATCTTCACCTATAACAGATCAAACAGTACTGCTAGCACCTCTATTAATCAAATAATACAATTTAACCCCCTGTAGCCTTTTTTTAAATTGTTTTCACAGTATTATACATAAGTAAAACTAATATCTTATAAATATGCTGTGGAATTCATATTTATCCTTTCCCAAATGACTTGCCAAGTTTTCAATTCCATCCTGTTTAATAGGAAGACATTGAAGGAGACGTGCAGAAAAGTGACTGAAAACACCCTTTTGTTGCTAATGATTTTTTCCTCGAATTTGCTTACCCAAACAATGTCTAAACAAGCAGATTATATGAATAATAAATGGTTCAGGAAATGCTACACAAGAGGAGCAAACATTTATTTTTCATTATGTAGTCTGTCAAATACAAATGGATTGATTTAGGTCCCTGGCAACCCTGGAAGAGTGCACTGACTTTCTGTATCAATGAAAAGGACAGCTGCGGGTCCCTTGTGTACATCACAAACTGGCCAAATCAAATTAGGGTGTTTATGTCATCCAGATATAAAAATCCCATTAATCACTGAATGGTTCATGAATTGTCATAATTAAACTGCTAAATAAAACACCCTGAAGGGGCCAATGCAGGGATTTGGCAAAGGCAGTGCTAGAAATGTTACTTACGAAAGTGTTTTTATGTTGCACTCATAGGTCTCAATAAAATATAAATAACACTATATGAATGTTAAATTGCAGTCTGTAAATAACTGATAGGTAAAAGTAAAGAATTTTTTACATGGCTTTTTATGAAAAACTGCAGAAAAGAATACAGGAAGAAAAATGCAGTTGTTGCCCATAGTGGCAAATCAGGTATCTATCCGAGAACACTAAATAAGCAATGTTTTTAGTCTTTTATTCTACAGTTTTTTAGTAGTTCTAAAGGGCAGCAAAATGCTCTACCAAAGGCAAAAATAGTGAAAAACTAACTTTGTACAATAACTAATGGCCCTTTTGTCTGTTAATAAATAAGTGTCTTTATTGCTCCTAACTACCAGATCCCCTTTTTAAAATTTAATGTGACTTAAACAGCATAAAGGTATGAATATGGGCAACGCAACACTTTTACAATGAGGTCTCAAAAAGTATGCACAATGCACTTTCATATACAGTAACTGTGCATATCACAAATAAAAAAAGATTATGAATGATAAAAATTTATAAATTCAAACATGATGTAAAGAAGTTGGAATATTGATATCATAAATAATGATATCGTTTTAGGCATATGTGCACATTCTTTGCCTATGTATTATAAAAGTTTTATATAGATTTTTGGCAACAGCATTTTTTTTACCCAAGCCACTGACTTCATACTTTTCCATTTGTCTATAAAGCCAATTTTCACTTTTTCAGTCAAATTTACGATAAACCCTGCCATATGTTGCCAATATGTGTTCCTATTCACACAGCATACTGAAAAAAAACTTTAAAAAAAATTCTTACATTTTCGATGTTTTGTGAAATCAGGCAAGCTGGCTGATTCCAGATTTTTCTTAGCCCTTTCAATGGTCTTGCCCAATAGAACATTTTGGGACTGAAGTTTCAGGATTGTGTTTATCAGATAAGCTTCATTAACATACAATGGACAAACCACCTTGTAATGGACATGCCCCTCACACTCAAAAGACCCTATTAGCACAACTCTTTATAAAACACCAAATTTCAGTAAAAATTACACTTTGTGTACAAGTAATACGTGTACACAATATAATATCCTTTTTTGTAAAATATAAATAGATATCCAACATGTCAAGCTTAACAATTATGTGCACCCATAAAATGGCGACAAAACACGGTATCCCAAATTGTCCATAGGCAATGCTTTAAAAGCCTATACAGATCATCAGTTTAGAGTTAACCATGAATATTGGCCCTAGAAGTATTGCTCTCTCTGGTGCATGCAGCAATACCTAACATGTGTAGCGCAATCATTGTTTTTGTAAGTAGATGCACCTGACGTGTGTTTACATTACTATGCATGCTTATAAGCCACTGTGTGATAGCACATTAGTTGTGATAGGTTCTCTTTAAGGTGACATTAGGGGTCAGTTAGACCCCTAGTGTCAACTATCCACGGCAAAGAAGCTATTCAAGTGCAGATCACGCTTGAATAGCTTCTTTAGAGCGGGAATGACAGCTAAGGAACTGGAAGTGATGCAATCAGCGTCACTTCCTGCTCCATTCAGTGGGGAGGACATTGTGAGCAGATGGCCGCCGATTTCCCGATGCCCGCCGACAGATAGGTAGAGGGGACACTTTTCACTGGCCACTCTTCACCGGCCCCTTAAATTGATCTAGTGGCTAAGCTGAATCGCTTCCAGTATAAAGTGAACAGTGTAAGCAGAGTGCATGTAGAGGGGCCTGCTGCCAGTGACATATATCGATTTGAGCAAAGGGTTCATTTATTTGTTTGAATGGGCTGCCTAACGCACAACAATGCCCAAAAAGTGCATGCATAATTTTTAAAAACACATTGCAGTGCAATTACAATGCAGTACACAGCAACACAGGTGCATTCAGAAGATGCATTGGAGTGCCATTCAGAATTAAACAGCAAACCAAGCATTGTGGTAGTGTGCTCATTCCCATAACTCAATAGAGAGAATCAAGCCTAGCAACATAGTCCCAAGGAAAGAAAAAATTTAAAGCTAAAGTAAATAAAAAATACTTAAAGTGACACTAAACGCTGGAGTTATACTGTATCTTAAAAATGCATTCAAGTACCCTATTAACCAAAATGTAGCTTATTTGCATATCAATCAGCTGTAGATCCTCAAATCATCTCTGGATTTGTGCTGACACTGTCCTTCCTTCTGGAGGGTGGCTACTTTTGTTCACCATGATTCCTGTGTGTTTTGTAAAGTAGTCACCACCCCAAACTTGGTACCTGCATTCGCACCTGTGTGTTCTATGAATGTGCACCAAACGCTCATAAAAATGAAAGCTTTGGATAGCGTTGACAGACATGCTGCAAAACACAAAGCGATCTTGTGTTGCCATTCGTTTCTAATGGCACCCCAAACGCGGCCAGGTGTGCGTTTTTACTATTTAATGCATGCAAATGTGGAAGCCAAAAACATGGAACACATGTTGCAAAATTTGCTACATGAGCTTTTTTTTGCCTTGTTTGGCGAGGTTTGTGGACCCCATTAAACTAAATGGGAACTTGTGGCAAATGCAGCACACGAACACGCACGAACTAGCACAAGTGCACGTGAAAGTGATGCGCATTCCTAGAGCACACAGTTGTGAATGTGGGCCTAGAGTACTTGAATGCATTTTTTAAGATTTAGCTCCTGAGTTTAGTTTCACATTAACAGTAATGACTCCCTTGCAGAGCCGTACCCCGATGGAATCTTCTGCATCAGTGTTGGAAAACTGTGTCTCCCCATAGCACATTTGACCTCCATGCATCACCATGGCTATTACACTACTCTTGTGCCTCGATATTGCTAGGGAGGTGAGGGAAGGCTACAGTAGGCACTAGGGAGACACAGACCTCTAAATCTGCAAAATAATTTAAATGTAATAATTGTTTTTTGAACATTCAATCAGTTTTCTAATAGTTACCAGGATCAGGAATCCTAACAATCAATGTGGTTTTTGGTCGGGAAACTCCATTTTTGCCCAAATCAAATGTTAAAACCCAATACAATTTTACACCACATTCGACAAGTTTCTGATGTCATTATCAAGTGTTCTGACAAGATTGTTTGTTCGAACATTCATACAGAAATATACCAGTGTATTGCCAGTTTGAACACACCTCAGATGCTGAAGTTTCTAGCAAACAGGTGTAGCTTTGCCAGCTGCAAGGTAGTCACTACTGGCATTTTTATACCCAGTCCACCTAAACTAATTCCTTTTTGATTAGTACTAGAGTGTTAAAACACCTGAAAGTTTCTTATAGCCATTGGACACTTTATTTATGGCACATATTTGTGATTAAGTTCTTGCATCTGCACATCTGCTGTGGCAATTATTGGGGGTTTTCACTCTCCTTACTGAATGATGTATCTATTATATATTATGAAGGGTGTAGCAGGTGGGGCTGTAACAGACAAAAGTGGACAAAAACATTAAAAACGCTTGGACAGTAGAGCCCCTCAAACCTAGAAGGCGTTCCTCCCAAACACAGAAGAAAGCTCCTTTATGCCACCCAATGAGCTACTGGTAGTGAATGTGGCTATGTGGCCATATTAGGTAAATTACATCAGCACAAGCATCCCGCCCCTTTGTTTATTTGCAGCTGCAGGGTGGGAAATTCCCTACCACAGCTGAATGGGTGGAAGTGCCCATGGCACTTCATTGTTCAGGGTAGCTCAGGTTCAGTTTGAACATGAGCTCATCTCTATTGGACAGGAACAGAGTCAGGAATTAGGGCAAAGAGATCTTGCTCTTGCAGTATTGAAGAATTATAGGAAGCTAGGGGTTGAATCAGCCTACTAGGCTCCACCTATAGTTAACATATCACATTTAGATGCTTCAATATTTTCAGGATGCTGATTTTTAATCAAATAAATGAACAGAACTGAAATATTGCAGTGCACATTACATGATGTGTAAATACAAAATGGTATGTTTATAGTGCAGCAGTTTTTACCAACCAATTAGAATTAATTGTGGTCATCAGCTAAATTGCTGAAAGCTGCTGTCTGGCTGCTGTGCGTTACATGTTTATGCCTTTGAAATATAGGTTCATATGAACAATAAAACACAACACACACACACAACCCAAAGGTTAAACTCGATGGACCTGTGTCTTTATTCAACCTGAACAACGATGTAATTTAGACTACAAAGATGATCACATTTCCCAAAAAATATGAATACATATAACCTAATTTAATGTACAGTTTTGTGTTCTGTATGTATGCATGATAATAATTTGTCAAAAAATTAACCTGAAATGGGAGTGAGAATAATGGTTTAACTATTTGGGAATATTTTGATTAGTAATGATACCATTGTTCCATTCCATTGAGACTCAGCTGCATAGTAAGATGCAGTATATTTTGGCAAGAGCCTCCAGGGCACAGACAAGCAGCTGTACATTCCTGCTTATTCACTGGTGAACAGGATCTGTGACAGTCTAAAGTAAGCCCCATCATAACATGCCATTGGGATGCTGCCACTCACTATACTATATCCAGTGTCGTCAGAAATAGTAGAGCTATTCCACTGACTATTGGCTGCAGCCAGAGCTAAATGTGTGTGTCTGAAGTAGATAGGGTATTCCTGGGTCTCCATGTCTCCAGAGTAATGACTGCTGAGGAATACCTGCAATGATGTTGTTAAATATTGTTTTTTTTCTTTGCTTTCTTCACAATTTGGCCTTCTGTCAACAACAAAGCTTTAGCCCAACATGCCACTTGGACCCAACTCGTGGATTAATTTGTGATGCCTGTCCTGGTGGATACTCAGGACCACGCTGTGAACGGTAAGAACATATTTTGAACCATTGGGGCATATTTTATAAAGCAGTGTAAGTGACATTCACCAAAAATTCCTTGCAGGTGTATTTTCCTGGTGCATGTGTTAAATTACAGTGATTAATTCCCTGGCATTGAATGATTGGTAAATGCCACGTTCACTGCTTTATAAATATGCCTTGTTATTTACAGTACTGACATAAATACATGCTTACATTGTGCTTACTTGTACATGCAGTGCATTGTGTATTTATGTGATGAATGCTTGTATTTCCTATTTATTACAGATTTTTACATTCATTGTACTTTTACAAGTATTGATTAAACTTCAATATTGTAGAAAAAGTTCTTGCATAGAAGAATTGTAATGTTTTTACCTACAAGCAAATATTATGTGTTACTTGGAAATGAGCAAGTGCCGTAGGTTTGCAGTAATGTCTACAATATAAGTGAACTGCTGAAGACATTATTACTTCAGGGGAACATTTATGTCTGATTGGTCAGTGCTGTACCTATAATAAAGTATATTCTATGTATAGGATTAAAATATATATCTGGCAGTTTTTACTGAACAAGAATTTGTTTTATATATATAAAAACAAAGAGCTATGATAATGTACTAAGTGCAACAAGCTATTCATCCAGTATTGAAATGTTCATTTTGAATGGCTGCTGTGGTTTACGGCACTTTGCCTTAGTGATTAATGTGACGAGTTAATTTATTTATGTTATCTTTCATTTACAACACATATACATTATATATCTATCTATATCTATCTATCTATCTGGATAGATAGATAGATAGATAGATAGATAGATAGATAGATAGATAGATAGATAGATAGATAGATAGATAGATAGATAGATAATCCTGGAAGCTGATGTTATTCTTTAAACTGGCATTAGTTGTATACTGTTGATAGCATGTGTTAAATATAAAAACTATTGCTACGTGTTACATTTTGCTTAAGAGTAGAATGATATATTTTAAGCTCATTCTAACTTTAGACTTTAAATGCTCAAATGCAACAGCTGAAATAAACATCATTAAAGATCATGTTTCAGTTGCAAACCTCTTATGGTAAAGTGTTACGAATGTAACGACTGTATCTTATAGTCATTTAACACAAGCAAAGGTTTGTACAGATTTGTGTATATATATAAACTATATTGCCAAAAGTATTGGCACGCCTGCCTTTGCACGCACATGAACTTTAATGGCATCCCAGTCTTAGTCTGTAGGGTTCAATATTGGGGCCCACCTCAATGCAGCTATAACAGCTTCAACTCTTCTGGGAAGGCTGTCCACAAGGTTTAGGAGTGAGTCTATGGGAATTTTTGAGCATTCTTCCAGAAGTGCATTTGTGAGGTCAGGTACTGATGTTGGATGTGAACGCCTGGCTCACAGTCTCCGCTCTAATTCATCCCAAAGGTGTTCTATCAGGTTGAGGTCAGGACTCTGTGCAGGCCAGTCAAGTTCCTCCACCCCAAACTTCCTCATTCATGTCTTTATGGTCCTTGCTTTGTGCACTGGTGCGCAGTCATGTTGGAACAGGAAGGGGCCATCCCCAAGCTGTTCCCACAGAGTTGGGAGCATGCAATTGTCCAAAATGTCTTGATATGCTGATGCCTTAAGAGTTCCCTCCACTGGAACTAAGCGACCAAGCCCAACCCCTGAAAAACAACCCCACACCATAATCCCCCCTCCACCAAACTTTACACTTGGCACAATGCAGTCAGGCAAGTACCGTTCTCCTGGCAACTGCCAAACCCAAGGGACATCAGAGAAGCGTGATTCATCACTCCAGAGAACACGTTTCCACTTCTCTAGAGTTCAGTGGTGGCATGCTTTACACCACTGCATCCGATGCTTTGCATTGCACTTGATGATGTAAGGCTTGGATGCAGCTGCTCGGCCATGGAAACCCATTACATGAAGTTCTCTATGCACTGTTGTGCCAGTCTGAAGGCCACATGAAGTTTGGAGGTCTGTAGCTATTGACTCTGCACTATTGACAGTTGGCGACTTATGCACACTGTGCGCTTCAGCATGTGCTGACCCAGCTAAACAATGGACCCAGGAATGGAGATTTATTACCTCCCAAATATCTTAGAAATCTCCTGGCTCCAGGATCCCATTCCAAATCCAGAAAACCTAGGAATACCTGCAAAGTCGGCCCTTTCCCAGTACAAGAACTTGCTTCTGCGAACCACTCGGCCCCTATTACATATTATATATATACCAATATATATGTGGCATATATGACATGAAGCACAGTCTACATGCACCAGGCTGAGAGTCCTGTGTGACTACAACCCCCAATTTTACCATTGGATTGCCACACAATACCACAATATATATGTGGCATATATGACATGAAGCACAGTCTACATGCACCTCTTATTTAACTTTCTTATTTAGTGTCATATATTGTGTGGTTCTCATAGTACTCTTTGTAGTTACATTTGGGTGTGATATCACTGCTCTGATCAGTGCATCTCCTATGTGCATTTATCACGCAAGCCTCATAGAGATCTTGCTGTTCATGCTTGATATCACGCTCAATAGTTATATATAGGTCACATAGAACTCTCTTTTGGTAAAGTGCTGCTCCTAAATTATGCAATCTCATATGTAACATGTGGCTGTTATAGCATGCTTTCAGGAATGGTGCACTTTCCATAGCCCTCTCTCCCTCATAAGGCACGCACTACTCCTGTAACATAAAAGCAGAACTTATTCTGCTATATTCACCTCCCTTCCAGTGATGTGATGTTCCTGAAATCCCTCACTGGTTCTGACATCTTTACTCAGTCTTCTTGTGGGTTTGTCATCTTCAGCTAAATTGAGGACTCTGGCTGACTCAACTCCCCCCTCTATGTGTATAAGGGTTAATTCATCCTGGCACCAAGGCATGCAGAGATTGTACACAAAGTTGCTAATGCTTGGTAGGTAAGCTGACAATGAAGGTAAAAAGCTCAGCTGTAGATGAAGGCAAATGTATGAAGGAGCATCCAACCAGCAGATCCTTGCAGGACTTTCAGGAGTATGGGTATAAATTCAAGCACCCAACAGTACCCTTCCCTATTTCCCATTGTGGTTTGAGAATGAGTTGTGGCCTCGAAACGCATCTCTATAGCAACCCCTACACTCATGTGTGACCCAGAATAGCCCCACTCCTGGAAGTCTTGCAGCGATCTGGCTGGTTGGATGATTCCTCATACATCTGCCTTTATCTACAGCTGAGCTGTTCTCCTTCATTGTCAGCTCCTGGACTGTCCTGGACTGTTCACCTTCATTGTCAGCTCCAGGAGTGTATAAGCCTATTGCGGCTTTGGACTTTTCCATCAGTCTACATGCAGCTTTTTTTGTTACACCATGTAAGTGCATTTTATGTTTGCCTTGTAAATAAAAGTGTTTGTTTGCTTTACGCACGATCAGTGGTCCTGGTAATTTCTCTGTGTTTTACACGCCCCTACCACGGTAATACTTCTCCTGCACTTCTGATTTGCGGGCAATTCACATACCTGCGTGAATGACAGCTGGCTCTGCCTATCTAGAGGCAGAGCCAGCTGTACCCGCCCCCTTCTCCATCCGTTCCTCGAGTCAGCGTTGGAGGATAGGAGCGGAAGGGGGGGAATCCCTGCGGGAGCGATGACTGGCAGTCACCGCTCTCTGCAGGGAGATGATCGAGAAGTGAGTGAGCAACAGTATGGGATCACTCACTTCCTGATCTATTGAGCCGACGTGTGACAGTTTTATATTCACACGTCGGCTCAAACTATGAGGATGAGTGATTTTCACACACCTCATAGTTCTCCTTTAATCTTCTTTTCCCATGAGTTAATGCGCTGGGTGGTGCACTTTGTTTTGTTTGTTTTCTCTTTTTCAGTCATTGGCAGGCTTCTCTTCCTGCTTCATCAAGCAGCTCACCTGCAGCTGTACCTGTATACTACCTTCCCATTGAGACTGTACAGTATATAGATTATACATACCTATTCTGCACAAATTATTGCCCTAAACAACACATTGTGCGCTATGAAATAGTTTTTGAAATGGGAATGTATGTGCCCATAGTGAACAGGATCCTAAGGTTCTCTAATGTTCAGTGTGTACAGTACAGTCCTATCTTGTCATGTGCATTAAACATCAGAGTAATGCTTTTGTACCTTCCGTGCTGATGAATGTGTTCGAGAACATTTAACCTAAAATTAAAATGAATGAAAACAATAATAATGTGACAACCACCACAATATCTTGCTAAGTAATCAAATACATATGCACCAAGCCAGGCGGCAGGTCAAAAAAACCTAGGTAGTGCTTGCTATGCAAAAAAGATGTCATACTATAAGTTTGGATATTTATAACCAAAACCTTCATTCCAAGCAGCAATATATAAAATTGTGTGTCTGTGCTTTCTGTGGCCACACCAGACATATCTGCAAATGTTCACTGTGATATCCCCAGCAGAGTGTAGAATGGCCTTTTTGCTTTTACTGTATTTTTGCAGTCACCTTTAATGATATCAATATGCACTTATAGTTTCAATAATACATGAGATGCATATAAAGAATCGCAAATAGCATGACAAGAAAAGCATCACATTTTTCTTTAGGCTTAGCTGATGTACATTTGAACACTGAGGCATTCAGTCCAGCACAAACTCCAAATCAAACCATATTTGTTAGTCAATACACTGTATGTATGCTGTAACCTGTGCAGGTGTATAGTAAATACTATGAGGATTCAATTATTCTGGTTTTCCCGTGGGAAGTGACTTATAGCCTTCATTTAATGTACTGCTGCAGCTCACAATCATGAAGAAATATCTAGCGGATGTAACCTTGTTTTTATATGTTCATTTACTGTCTAGTGTTATTCTGATTGCCATTCTCCTTTGATGATGCTTGATGGAATGTAAATTAGTATTTCACATGAACGTGGTCTTCTTAATTTGTGATCTGCAGGATTCATTTTTACAGAATACTATCAGTTTTCTTTCTCCGT